ATGATCAGCATTTGTAATGTTCTTTGTGCTCGGAAAATTTCAGAACATTACACATGATCTATGGAAAGTTATGGGGGGTCCGTTACTTCTGACGAGCACTGTAAGCACAAAAAAGTTAACCACGTCGCCTTTCAACGTCCAGGAACCATTTAAAAATCCAAATTTCACGCTAGAACAAGTGCAGTTCCTATAAAAACAGTTTGCGGACGAATTCAATCTGGTTATTGACCGGGAGGTTATCGAGGACATATATACTAAAAAATCTTAATTATCCTACTTCCTTTTTGACAGACACGCTGGTTTGTTTGCCTTTGCGGACGTGCGATCTATAGAGAGCTGTTCTCAGAGTTAGTGGTGGGAGCACATTTGAGCTATGACATATGGCAACGTTTCAATGCCCTCTTATTAGGAAATGATATTTTAGAGTACTCAACATTTATAAGGATGAAGGATGCCCTCCTGAAACTAGGTGTGCTGTGAAGCTCCTCCAATCCGATTTTTTGGTGAACAACGACCCTGTATATGTTGCTGAGAACAAAAAGGATCTAGCTTTGTTCCTCACAACTGAAGGAGTTCTGCTCCCTGGAGAAAATGCCGGGACATTTAAGATTTCTTTGGTGCACTGGCTGGTCCTTCAGCGAATAATTCCTCATGTGTTTCTGACTTCACCTAAAGTAGAAGTACCCTATTATCCTTCCACAGGTACCTTAGACATTCTTAAGGTCTTGAAACAAGTTGTTTGTGTATTTGACAGAGATTATGAAGTCTCGCAATAATTTCAAGACAGCACATGTGCTGGTCAATAATGTAGGCAAACTAGAAGTCCCTAGAGAGTCAGTTTATGATGCGAACTGTACCGGATCATGTCGAATTGGCTTGTTGGATTCATGGTAACTGGATAATGGCACCTGAACTATCGTACTAGCGGACGTATCAATCATACACCCCTACAAAATATTACTGGAAATTTCAAAAATGAATTTGTCACTTTGGAACCCGATATCTCGACATCCGGTGACCCGATTCGAACAAAAAGATCACCGTTAAATTTGTAGTCGAGACGAATCTAATGGCGATATTTTTGTTCGAATCGGGTCACCGGATGTCGAGATATCGGGTTCCAAAGAGACAAATTCATTTTTGAAATTTCCGGTAATATATTGTAGGGGTGTGTAAATATGTCGACATAGTCATCGTACGACCTAATAAAACAACTGCCCTCGAACTTTAGCTACCGCAACAAAAAAAGAGCTCAAGGAACATTACGAACGGGCACTCATATAAATTACCTGCAGATGAAACATGTATTGTTCATTTCACCTGTGAAGAAAACACCATTTCGGAACCTTTCTGGCCAACTAAGCCTCAACTGCAGAAGGGCCTTCGAGTCGTATACATTTGGCATGACCTCGACTTTAGTATGATTGCGTGTTGGTGGGATACGAATAATGATACGAGGCATGTTACTGAAGTTGAGGAATTTGTGGTGCGTTCCATTATGAATATTTCTTTGCTTGCTTGAATTTCATATTACCAATGACCTCTGCTCGATTATAGGTTCGCAATAATCGGGTGACATAGAAATTGGGACTGGTTTTTGAATAAAAATAGATATATTTGTTTTTTATCTCTAAAGTAGATAGTAAAACTAAATCAATCTGCCATGGTGCAAAAAGTCTAGACATCCAATACTGCGCCATTGCTGAATTTTTTGAAGGTATATGCAATGCTAATTAAAATTTTACATTAAAAATGATCATGTAATTTTACATAATGAAATACAGCCAATCAAAAATAATGCACGTGATATTTTGAGTGCTGAAAATCATTATTATTATTATGAAAATTGATGTTAAAAAAAATTAACTACAAATAATTTTTATAATAAATTATATTAGATTATTTAATAATGTATTTTAATGATTATATTTAAAATAAAATTTCTTTATAGTTCAAAGTATTTGATGTCTTTAGACTTTTCGCACAATATTACATAAGAAATGTAGTACGCATATAAAATAGGGTTTTGTAAGCTACTCGCGCATTTCATACGGATATGGGAATTATATCAATACGATAATTGAAATAATAAAATAAATTTCTCGTAAATCAAAGAATAGTATTAAAAATAACGATAAAATTAGTATTTTTAATTATCTATCTCAAATGGTTTTTTTTTCAAGACTTCGATTCCTTCGTCAAGTACGGGTTTCTGAATTGTGCGGAAATTATTATTTTTTTTACGCCTTTACCCCCCCCCCCGTTCAAGCTTTCTAATTCATCACTATTCTTTTTGGTATGTCTTCGTCTATCGTGACGAGATTTTGCTCCGGATTCCTAAAATTACATTTTAGAAAATGAAAGATTGTACAATTACTTCAATCAATCCTGCAAAACTTGCTTTGTCTCCTTGTTATCGCTAGATTATCATCATAGTGCAATTCATCTTCAGTTGTCAAGAACAATTTGAAATTGAATGCACGGGACTTAAAATTATCAGTCGTTGGCTCAAGTATGGTCGCTGTAATGATGCGGAGAGTCGACAGGTGATCGTGGACTAGTTCAATTGCATTAGAAGTTGAAACGAAAGATAGATACAGAGACCTAGCCAAATATCGTGGACACTTTAAAATTAAATAGAAATTTATATATTTAAAATTCATATATTATATGATAGTTTTGAATCCTTGAGATCTTTGTGATTTAAAAGAACCAAAAAAAAAACACAAAAATCCATACAGTAGTTCTTGAGAAACGTTGATTTTTTATAAAATTAAATAGCTAATTTCTCAAAATTATATACAACAAATATAAAATTTTTTATATAATATCTATAACTTATAATTTATGATTTTTGTGTTTTTTGGCTATTTTAAATCACAATGATATCAAGCATTCAAAAATATCATATTTTTAAATATATAAATTTCAAGTGTCCACAATACTCGGCTAGGCCGCTGTATTTTGCATTCTGGTTATAGACAACTTAATTTAAATAGTAACGGTAACGGTAATATAAAAACAAAAACATCCCATATAAAGAATCCCACCAAAAATATGTAACGGCAAAGTCAGAATGTGATTCATACGGAAAAACTATCCTTCGAGATCTTCCATTGACCCACTTCATTGCAATCAATTAATTGCTAAATAACGTGAATTAAAGCATATTCGAGTTAACTTTACACTCAATATGATCGGATTTTATTTACAAAAATTTTTGACAGTAACTTCGTTGCCAATGATATCAGTTTGATTAAAATAAAGCTCGATCGATAATAGAAGAGTTCAATCTTTCGTTCAGATTCATCTCGCATTTTCTGATCACATTTGCAATTGTCTTTTTATATTTTGATCTATCGTAATTTAACTTGGCCTATATGCAAATAATGACCCACGGCCAAGAAAATTGTTTGGCTGCAGCAAAAAGCCAACACTGCCAATTACTGCTTGCAGGAGCAAAAATAAGAATTAAGTCTCTGGTTTCTCTAATGGATCGATAATAGTACCCATCTTTGTCGTAACCCGTGGTTTAACCATCTTCTGAAACACTTCATACGTATTCCATTCTTTGCCTAGCGGATTTCTTAGGCTGCGTTCATATTGCTCGCGCGTTTCATATGGATACGGAATTTGCGTGGCGAGATATTTAGTTGCCTGTTTTGAATTGTCATATCAATGCGATAATTAAATTAACCCAAGAATAAATGAAATAAATTTCTTTCTCATAAATCAAAGAATAGTATTAAAAAATAAAGTTAACCTTTTTAATTCTTTTCTCATTAATTATCACATGTTTCAAGTTCGCGTCTTTTCTTTTCGACACTTCAATTCCTTCGCCGGGTACGGGTTTCTGAATTATGCGGAAGTTATTATTTTTCGTCGGTTTCTTTTTTACGCCTTTACCCGCCCAAGATCCCTAATGACAGTATTATTCATCAATGAGTTACCACGGTATTATTAAGAGTATTAAACACTGCTACACACCCATCCAGGTAATGTTAAATCTTTTTCCTTTGGCGTGTCTTCGTCTATCGCGGCGAGTTTTTCTGCTTCGAATTCCTAAAAATTACATTTAGAAAAACATCAGTTCATATAAAATATTTCGAATAGTTGAATAGAAAATAGAATAATGTGTAATTACTTCAACGACATTATCATTAGCAAATGCACGCGCGACTAATTCTCGTTGTGAGAATCCTATTGGCGTCTTATTGTTATTTTTATGTACAAGTGTGATGGTAGAAGTATCTAATTCGTCGTCGTATTCCGAGGCTTGGTCAGGTGATGTGAAAATATCAGTAGCAGTAAAAGTAGATAGGGTCTCAGTTGAATTTTTCTTTTTGTTCTTTATCGCTTGAGAGGTAGTAGCTTCAAAAATTATAAATATAATCAATTCCATCAATAATCAAAAAATATCAAGATTATCAAAAATTCACCCACTAAAATTTTGACCAGCAGACATCGTCGTCAACATTTTATCTAAATCAATCTCAACATCATTCAAAATTTCTTCATCGTCATGTAATTTTCGCTTTTTATTCTCTTTCTTAATTTTCATGACGGATTTCTCGGATTTCTGAGTATTTTTGTTGGTTTTCGATTTATTGATTTTTTTACTGGATGTAGAAACTTTAGAAGACGTGTCGTTTTGAAGCCATGGATTACTATTATCGATTTCTTGATCTGAAATGGTGTTGTCGTTTGAATTTTTCGGATGCTGCTTGTTCTTGTCGGGTGTTATGGAGGGGCTGGCGAGCTTCGATGGTGAAGATTTATTAGTCTAGAGGAGAAACAAAATATGTCAATTTAAATAAATATGTAAGGTTAAAATAAATGAAATATTAATCACTTGTTGCATCAATTTCTCGTCAAGGTTAATCTTATTTTTTGAGATTTTTTTGGGATCAATAGTCTTAAAAACTGCCTCATCATTCTGCAAAAGTATAACGAATTAATGTCAACGTTACATATATATATAAAGCCAACAAAATAATTAGAAGCATACCTTTGACGATGTACTACGTCCAAAAACCATTCTTCCAGGATTGTCACCGATTTTTCTATGCGAATTGTCTCTTTTTACCAACTCATCTTCATTCTTATCACGACGAGTTGACAAGGATCCATCTTTATCATTGTCGTCGTCGTCGTCTTCATCAATAATATCAGAGAAATTACCATTTTCAAGATCTTGTACAAAATCTTGAATCATTTCATTTGTACGTTGTTTCTTTTTCTCCGTTGCCTCTTTCATAAATTTCATATTTAATACACCTTTTGTCTTTGGTGATTGTTGGCTTGACAAACTTGCCAATTCATCAAAAGCTTTTGCTTTTATTGTCTCGATATCTTCTTCCTCATTGTCGCTATAATCACTTCGATTATCGCCATAATGTAATTCATCGTCATCAGAATCCAAACCGCTTATCTTTCGTTTCAATTTCTCATGCAACTGCAGCTGCTCCACGATCGCTTGTCTGCTCTCCGCATCATTACGACGACCATACTTGAGCGCCTGTTTCGCCCATCGACTAGTGTTCTTGTGCTTAAGTGTCATTCGCTCCTGTGCACGTACCGCTTCCAATTTCAATTGTTCTTGATGTCCTAATTCCGGATCAAGTTGGCTCAACTGCTCTAAATTCAATTCATTTTTCTCGCGTTCCTTCTTTTTAATTTTGTGATATGTTTTACTCTTGATTTTTGCGATTCGTTTCGCTTTGAGTTCTTCGCGAAACATTAGTTCACGCATAATTCGCAGTTCGCGACGACGCGATTGTATCTCTTCGATGGTGAGTTTGTTCAGTTCTAATTCTTCGTATTGTTGAAAGTCTTTTTCTTTGGCGCCGCTCTCTTCTAATATATTTTCTACTTGTTTCTCAAGTTCTGTGGACGCCTAATTCATTCAAGCAAAATTATACATTAAATATTGATCAATGGAAATAAGATTCTGATAAAATAAATTTAATGTCTTGTATAATTATATTAATATAAAATCATACTTTAAAAGTACCAGCCAATGTATTATTCGATGGTTGATAAGATGCAGCACCAGAACTCTTTGAAAACTCCAGATGATCAGACTCGCGATTTCGCTTAACGATCGGTTCCCATTTTGATATTTCTTTTTTCGTTTCCTCGTATGCTGCCTGCCTATTGAACTTTTCTTGGATTCTTTTTGGTAATGGAGGAGACAATGGTTGTTTGACTTTATTATTTTTACTATTACTATTATTATTATCAAGACTCTTTTTCAATATACTGTATCCCGTCTCATCCTGTAAAGTGGCCAAGAGATCCTTTAATTCGATTTTTTTATCCACGTTATTTTCACCACTGTCAATTGTAGTAGGAATGTAGTAGAGCGATTCGTCATATCCATCGGGGATTTCTTCGAGACGTCGTTTACGTTTTTTATTAGGTATTGTTGTATTTTCTAATGCTTCTTTTTCATCATCATTGCCAATACCAGAACTATTATTATTTCGGTTGCTATTTTCTTTTTTCCGCTTTCTGTCGAGTGAGTTGATGAAATAAAACAATTCTGATTTTTTGTTGTTAGCATTGTTATCTTTAGTAGAATTATCATTCATACTGACTCCTTCAATGTTATCATCAATATTGACTTCTTCAATGTTATCATTCACACTAACTTCTTCAATGTTATCACTCATACTGACTTCTTCAATGTTATCATTCATACTGACTTCTTCAATGTCATGATCGCCGTCACTCTGTGTTCCCTTTCCTCCTTCTTTTTCCTCCTTCACACTATTCTTGTTTTTTTTCTTTGAGGTAACAGCAGCGACGGGTTTAAGAATAGGAACAGGGGGTATAGAAATTGCAGCCACAGCTTTTTTTGAAGAGACTTGTTTCTTTCTGGAAGCTTTCACTTTTTTCATAATAAATTGAAATTTTCTGGTACGGAATCATTGTTGATGGAAAATCTATTTTACATAAATCGATAACGATAAGGATATCTTAAATCACGTGAATTGTTTCTAGCCAAAAATTGGCGTAATTATAATCTGTGATCACGTGTACGTGATCAAACAATAAGGATGCGCAAATTTTTGATCAGCCCGGCAAAACAAATCCGAAAACGTGAAATATACGGGAAACAGACGTCTAAATCTAACTTGGAGCTCTAATAAAAAATGTCGAGGAAGCAATTTTACATATAAATTCGTCGTCCACTCTAACCCTAACGATAAAATTACATATGATTTGCACAATCTTATTGGTTTGTTCACGAACTGAGCACAGATCACAATTGTGCTAGATTAAAACGAAACCAGATTAAAATGAAATCAGATTATAATAAAATCAAATCAAAATAAACTTTGGCTCTTTTTATGGGATAAAAATTTCAAAGAAGAGTTAGGATTAGGTTAGAGCATAGAGTATGCATTAAAATCTGTAATATATTGACTTATAATTATTTAAATATCTCATTCTGTTTCGTTTTAATCTGATTTTATTTTAATCCACCACATTAATTGGCTTGTTGATCAAATGATATAACGAGTTACAATGTGTCAGTCCAACACCATATTTTTTTGAAAAAACTTGTATCTCAAAATTTAGTCTATGAAATTATCTTTTGTGTTCTAACAAAAAATGTTTCTTGCAAAATTTTACTATAAGTATATTTTTTATTTGCCAAATAATCTTGCTCCAGATCCAGACTCTAACTCTTTTCGCATTGTTAACATCATCAAAAAGTTATTACGTGACCCACAAAATGTGGTGGTTGTCCTGACAGATTCACAATAAATCATTTTACAAATTTATCCTTCATAAAAAAATTCTTGTTCTTGTCTTGCTTTTTTTATAATTTCTTGAAAAATTGTAATGATCATATTGTTATCATTTTATTTTTCATCATCTTTTTAATATGCATTTATCATCAAAAGTACAGTAATATTATCTTCTATTTCTTTTCTATATTTTTCTTTTATTTTTATCCAATAGCAATAATTATATTTTTATTCAATCAATTTTTATTTATATTATATCATTTTTATTTAAATTTTATTTAATCAATTAATTCATAATAATTCTATATTAATTTATATTTAAAATATTATTGATACTTTATTTTAATCTCTTTTTACATTAATTTAATTAGCAACACATAGATTTATACAAATCCCTTTTTAATATTACACAATACTTTTATTAATTTTACTTTGTAATTCATATATGTAAATAATATATAGATCAACATAACTCAAATTCGCTATATATGTAACATGAGAATTAACTTGAAATAAACTAAGAAGATTATATCCTAGTTTTTGTTTTGTTTCTTATTGTTTCTTTTATTCACTTTAATTTTTATTTTGTTTATTTTATTTTCTTGTTTTCTTATTGTTTTTCTATTGTTTTTCTCTTTGTTTATCTTTGTTTTTGTCTTAATCTAGTCTCAATTATCATCATATTGTCTTTGTCTTTTATAACTATACTTTTAATTTTAATTTATATTGTATATTTAATTTTAATATTACTTTATATTCATTTAAATATATTCAATATTCACTTTAAATCTAAATTCTTATTAAATTATTATTATCAACTATCTATTATTATTAATAATATCATTCTTATTTAAAATCTGTTATAAATACAATCACTATTAGCTATTTCTAAATATTTTCATATATAATAACTAGAAATAGTAGCAGATTTTTGGTGTTCTCTTTGTGGATGGCTTTTTGAAAAGAAATTCAAAGATTATATTCAAATTGAATAAATATAATATTCATATTGAAGTTAATTATTAGTTCAATCTTTTTAAAAGTATATTAATATCAAAAAAAATTATCATCAAAAAAGAAAATAAACTATATTAATTTGTTAAAGCACTATACTACAAAGTTCTCAATTATTAAAGTAATAAACTAGTGAACGAATAACTTTATAATTGGTTACTCACTAATACAAAATTACCAAAAAATCAAATATTTAATTATCTTAAAAATTTATTATCTAATGCACTAGTATTTATATAAAAAAGACAAAAATATCAACAACAAATAATAATTCATAATCAAAAATCAAGAGCAAATTCTCTAGCACTATCAACATCCAGAATAATAACTCATTCATTAATACTACAATAATCACTTACTTGATAATCTTCTATACCAAAAGTTAGAAACTATTTTTCTAACTGACTAAATAAAACTAAACAAAATATTACTACCAACAAAAAAAACAAATTTTTGCTCCAACAAAATTCATTTTTGTATCATTAGTAGCACATTTATTATTTGATTCCAACTTTCAAATCAATAATAATAATATTGAAAACAAAGTAATTTTGATACAAAATGATTTATCATCAGAAGATAAATCAAATAATTAAATAAATATAATGAATTAACTATTATAACAATAACAATATTAACAACAGCAACAGTAATAATATCAACAATAACAATAATTATAGCAATAACAATAACTATAGCAATAATAACAACATCATCAATAATAATAGCAGCAACAACAATAGCAATAACAACAACATTATCAATAATAATAGCAGCAATAATAACAATAATAACTATAACAATAACCACAACAAGATTCACAAGCCCAATTAATAATAGCTTTACAACAATTGGCATTTGTATTAGCAGTATCACTCCAATCAGTAACATCAAAATTAACTCTAGTATCTCTTTCAACTTTCAATAGTAATAGAATTAAAGATCCAGTTGCCTGACTTAATGAATTTGAACATGTAGCAAATGCTAATAATATTTTTGATATTTGTAAATAACAAATCATCTTAGTATATTTATGTAAAATTGTAGCAAATTAGTTCTAATGACAATAATAATTAGATAATTAATAGGTTTATAATTGGAATCAAAATAATATCAATTTATTTACTCAATCATTTTTAGTTCAATTTCATATAAATACTCAAATATTCTCATAATAATAATAATTAGTTATCCAAATTTAAGATATTGTTACATTTATTTTCAAAAATTCCTTAATTAATAAATCTTTCAAAAATAATAAAAAATATAAAAATCTCTAAAAATAGTAACAAATAACAAATTGATAAAAATAGTTTACATATATTAATTATTTAGTTATCATATAATTATTATTTTATTATTTTTAATTTAACAATTTTTATTTTTTCTATTTTTATTATTTATCTTTTCTATTTTTATTTCTTATCTTTTCTATTTTTTCTATTTTTATTTTTTATTATCTACCTTTTTTATCTTTTTTTATAATTTTGTAATATAACAATAGTATTAAAATATATTGAGAAAATTTGTATAAATAAGAGTGCTATTTTAATATACTCTCTTTCATACTTTAAACAAATTAATAAATTTTAATCTTTAAATATAATAAGTTAATAATTATCTTATTATTATAAGATTAATATTTATTTTTGTATCTTCTTCTGTTAAAGCAAGTTATCTGACAAAAATAATTTGTTAATTGAACTTCAAATCTTGTAATTCAAGTCACTTTTCATAAATCTTGAGTGAAATCAAGAAATTGAATATTAATTTGTATAGAATTGAATTTTTAACTATTATATTTTTGTCTTTAAATTTGGAAAAGATAGTTAAAGTATTTTAAATAAATATTTTGATTTGCTATAGTATTATTTTTGTATAGTTATGTATTACAACTTTAAATAAGTGATATTATATAGTTATATATTGCAATTTTAAATAAGTAATATTGTATAGTTGTGTACTGTAACTCTAAATAAGTAATATTTCTTTTAGTAATTTATTTTTTTTAGTATTGAAAGTACTAGAATGTATAACTACAAGTATAGAAACATCAATACCTTTATTTTTAGTTAGTAACCCTTATTAGTTAATTGCTCCTTTAAACACACTCTCCCAATTCTTCTTTTTATTCTTGATAGAATTGTTTAATAATTTTTGTTAAAATTGGCACAGGCTTAGATACTTATTTTTGTACTGATTAATTTTGTTAATCTATTTTTCTTTTTCAACTTATATAACTCTCTTACTAAAAGTGAAGAAACTCTTCATTTAAAGTAACTGTAATATATTTTGGTGCTTTTTCTATGAATTTTTCAAACTATTAATTTCTTTCTTTTTTTCTTTTATTTTATTATCATTTAATTAATTCTTTTATTTTATTAAAATCAAATTATCAAAAACAAATTTTCTTTTTATAATCTCTTTGTGAATATTTATATTCCACAACTCTTTATAAATAATTATTATACCTTTATTGAAAAATCTATTAACTCACAACTCAACACTCATCTGGAAATTTAATACTAAGAAATAACACTTTGAATAACTTAATAATACTATTGTCATATTTGTTTTCTATTTTTTGATATAGCAATTGAATTCTTAGTTAATTTTCTTATCTGAATTCAAGAATGAAATGCAATATCTGAATTCTTTATTATTAAACAATTATTTGAGAATATCATTAAAGCAGATTTTAATACTCTTGAAAGAAAAGAACTATAAAGATAAGTAATTCAATTATTAAATACTCTAATTTATCAAAATTGATATACTGTTAAACACTAACTTTTCTTAGTTAAGACAATACTTAAAAGCTTTTTTAATCAAAAATTCAAAAAAGATCTTAATTTATCTAATAACTTTTACTCACAACCAGCAACACATAAGTAACTGAAGAAAATTACTTTTTTATTAATAGCTATAATTTCATATCTGAATTTAACACATATTCAAATTTCTCAATACTCTATTTTGAAATAATCACAATGGTTAACCAAGCAATTATAGATACAATTAGTGGATTAGTTATCTTACTAAATAATAAAAACAATGAAAAGATAATTATCCAAATTTGAAAATATAAAAGTGAAGATCAAGATCCTATAAAATGACTATAAGATTTT